TTTCTTTGGAAGTTAAGTGAAGACTTAAACCCCGGCCGAATATTTAGTAGTTCAAATTTCAAATTTGGCCAGGACTTCCTGGGCAATACTTTCGGTAGTAAGTCATCTACTTAGGCTCTGCTGTGCTGAACCTATTTTATATTCTGCTACGAAAATATAGCTATAAAACGATAAAATAAGCAAAGGCTGGATTATCATAAACTAACAAAGTCTGAGCTGGCAAACTCTAATAAGCAGTCATTTCTCATGTTAAAAACTAGGTAGTATTGGCGCTGCATCCTTATAATTTTCTCCTCTTGGTTTTCTGTCTAACTTCGCTGCTCTCGGATAAACATCAAAATATGTGTCATTTTATATTTAGGATTTGCCGGTAGAAACCATTTTAAATTTAAGAGGTGAACTAAACTACAATACTTCAGGCAAGTAAAGCTAAAAAGTTCTAAAAGTTATTACCTTCATAATTCCAGCAAGTACTGCACCTCCTAGATAGACCATATGCTTCCTCCGTGGAGGATCCTCTATACGCAGACGTAATTTCTGTACATACTCAAGAACAGAGGGGTTATGAAAGGAGAGCCGGAAGCCCGGAACAAACATTATTACTGAATATAAAATGTGAGGTTCTGGTAAATGCATTCAGATTCTCCTTTGACTGTTACCAGTTTTAATAAGCTAAAACGATCAGATTGCCTGCATTTGCAAAACCTAAGCTATATTCTCCTTGATGGAAAGGTGAGGCAACAAGACTTGATAGATAAGGGCAAATGAGTTGTACTGCTTATTAGAGTTTGCCAGCTTAACAGAAAAATGGTACAAATTGGAAATGTAGTTGTACAAAAATAATAATATCAATTGTGTAGTCCATCACAGGAGAATTAAACAAAATTACCTTAAGTCCATCCTTGTTTCCCTTCAAAACCACGTCGAGGTAGCGATCAAGAATTTCCTTTTCCAGCCTTCAGAAAGGTGGCAGTTTGTTAGTCATATGAAACCTAGATCCTTGTATAGATCAGCGCAAAAGAAAAACAATGACTGGTCAACAGGGAGAAAGAACCAGAACAACAGCAAATAGCCAAGAAGGGAGAAAAAAACAGTGTGGTGTGTAAGTGATGATATTGGAGACAGGTGACTCAGAATGTACTGTAGTAAATAGCACAAAATGCAAGAAATGAACTACAGAATTAACATCTTACCGACTTGGCAGACCAGGATACATGGTACTTCCTCCACTAAGGACGATATGTTGGTAAAGCTGCAAATATTATTGAACATCGAATAAAAAAAAGCCAGCATGCAGTGATCTATCTAGGAAGTAGACACTCTAAATGTATGAAGACTACAACTTCAATATGTTCTCAGGTTCTTCTTTAGTTAATATATATCAAACTGAAAATTTAGTAACATTTGTTCCCTTACAAGGCATTAGCAGAATTCAAATTAAGAAAAAAAGGAAGTAGGTATATGCTAGTCTAAGGGGATAACGTACATACATAAAGCTTATAAAACTCAAGATGCAATGTCAGACACTCGATTAAGTCTCCACCAATAGCAAGTGCACCTCATGATGCATTTTCTATGAGTATGTTTACATAGATAATCACAAGTAATGCATATCTCTAGATAAATGTAGTCCGGAAGAACTACAGTTGTACAATATAATCAATCAGTTGTTCGTATACTTGTTCCATCTAATTACTTCAAGCAATAAAAATAACAGAAAGAATGGACAGGCAAAATTTACTATATTGCACTGGGACTACTGTAAGGTTTGTATACCGTCATGCGGTTGTCAATGTCCATTTCCTGAATGCAATGGAATGCCATATCTGCCAACCCATCACCTTCAACATCTATGAGTTCCTGTTCAGTAAATATTTTTACCAAGATTACCACACTGTTGATACTTAATATTTTTGCAGAGAACTGCATAACTATCTATCACCGGAAGACTTTCGGCAAGAATGGAAGGAAAACAAACTTACAGGAGTAAAAAGAGCCTCAGGAGCCTGAAACCGTTCAGTGCCCACTTTAATTACTCTTCCATCTGGAAGCTGATCACAAAGAATTTAGCTCAAAATAAAAATACAACAATAAAACAAGGTAGGATAATATACTTACAGTGTAACTTTTAACAAGAATTGTGGTTTCAAGTCCTAGCTGGTATTCACGTTTGTAGTCATAGCTGTACATCTTTTTATGTCATGCCTATGACATATAACAGCAATCTGTAGCCAAGAAATAAGAACAACAAAACAACTCACCTTATATAGCATAGCTTCTCTTTTATTTCTCTTACTGTCTCAAAATCAGCAGATTTGTTCATAGCATACCTTTTGAAATAGAACAATAAAGAGGATGAGGAAAATACAAGAAAGCTGAAGACTGCATCATCACAGCAACTTTAACATCTTAAGATGGTAACTGGTAAGGGAATACCCTCTTCTTGAGAGTAGATCAACAAGATAGGATGTGATATGCCTTCCAGCAACATTCATTCTTTTCGTTAGATGTGGATAAGAATATCCATCAACCACGGGCACCTGCGTGTGTAAATAAAACAAAAGCAACAAAATGAAAGCTACGGACAAAAAGTAACTAGTAAAAACAAGGACAATTAGGAAATTCATAAGGGCTGTGAATCTGTGATCTCTACAAAGAAACAAGGAAACTTAAATGAAACAAGGGCTGTGAATCAAAATGAAAGCTACAGACAGCAACAAAATGAAAGCCCGCACAAAAATTGGTGAAACAAATTGACATGCATGATTGCTGAGGTGGCATGATTGCATGCTAGATGAGTGCACAAATTGTAACTTATGACCACATGCATGACTTGATGACGTGGCATAGTTGCATGAAGAGGAAAAATAGGTAGTGGGTTGCAACTATTTAAGAATAGAGGATGATATTTATAAATTTAGATAATCTTATTCAAAATTATAAAACTTGCATGCAATTTTCATGAGATTTTCTCCATTTTGTTCTCATTTATCTTCCCTCTCTCTTCAATATCTATGACTGAACACCATGACTTTTCTTAATCCATGTTTGAAACCAAAATACAAATTTTAAATGGAGGAGTTTTAAGTAGTGATTTTAGTGTAGTTTTCTCACAGGACCTCCAAAAAGTCAGGTATATCCTGATCCCAAAATTAGAAGGGTAACTCCTTTGGTTGGCTCAATACAATTACAAGTACATTGGCAAACATTACACAAACGTGCTAGATAGTCAGATAGTATTTCTATAACTATCACAGAGAATGCTAGAGATAGAATCTGTTCATACCACATGGGTGACACCATCACCAGAATCTATGACAAGTCCAGTCAGCAAGCCTGGGAAGTAAACATACGTGTAAAATGAGTACTAGTACAATTTTGTGCGCATTTCTATGTCCTTGATTCTGTTTAAAGAGGTAAAGTAAGTACCTTGAGCATATAGCGAAAGAACTGCTTGGATCTGGATGAAGACCCCAGAAAAGTTGTATTTCTCAAACATTGTCTCGATCTGTTGATCGTGGGGTTCAATTTACTAGTCATTATGCAGAAGCTCAATTTGCAATATAAAATAGCCTGAGAAATTAAAATAACCTACCATTTGCTCACGGTTTTTCACAGGATTGAGTGGCGGATCTGTCAGTAAAATTTTACACTCGGATGGATCAACCTGTATGAAAGAAGAGAAATGTAATGCTTTACATGGATCTAAGAGAATAGGATTATAATCAAAGGTATTGATAAAGTATCTTTTAAAAGGATTCACACCACAAGCAAAGTAAAGAACATCAATATGCATACCTTCAGCTCGCTATAAAATGCATGATCCCATATATGGCCCATATCATCCCAATTTTGAACAATCCCATTTGTGACAGGATATGATACATCAAGCTGATGTCTTAAATCAGCGCAAGCAGCTCCAACCACAATATCCTGTGTTGAACATAAACACAAATTACGAGGTGTACTCAACATTAAGAGACAAAATAAATGATGGAATCCAAACTGTCAATTCTTGCTCCTGGAGTGACTCCTCATAGCGAAGCAATGGCCTTCCAACGACACAAGGAAAGACAGATGTAGGGAAGTTTTCTCCCGCAAAGCCGCACTTTACATACTGCAACGTAGGTGCCAAATTAGAACAGCAAAACCACCCGACCATAACAGAGAGTATTTCACGTTTCTCTGTCATGGAAAAGATGATCAAAATCAAGAAACTGGCACAGGTCAGCTAGAGGTTTCACAAACACAATTTACAATTTGAATATTATTTGTGCTTACCAAAAAATCTATAATAGCTCAGTGAAACCAAAGATGTGCCTACTGATTTCCACATAACAATTTAGCGCCCTATTATGTCATATCCGTTCAAAGCAGAAAAGGCTGATCTGAACCTAAAGATAAAATTGACATGGCAGATCCAAATGCAACTCGGAAAGCAATCCCAGCAGAAATACGATAAACAAAGGGGGCAGAACGTTCTCGAACATTTCTATTCCCCTACAGTTCTCAACTCGGCACCAACTCCGCACTCCACAGCGATGACTCGATACAGATTTGGAATACCCTCAGCTGATTCCGTCCGAACCTGGCTACCCTACTCCTCAAGCCTAACCATGATTCATCCGCCTCGATCAATCACCGGCAGCCGAAGGCCGGTGGGATTTCGTAC